TATCACCCCTCAATTTAAAGCTATGTCCCCTCGTGCTAGCCATCACCGTCCGAAGAAAAAGGCTCTCGCTGTCCACCCTATATAATCCTCTGATCATCTTGTATGTCTCTATCAAGTCACCTCTTAACCTTCTGCTCTCTAACGAAAACAGCCTCAAGTCCCTCAGCCTTTCCTCATAAGACCTTCCCTCCATACCAGGCAACATCCTGGTAAATCTCCTCTGCACCCTTTCCAATGCTTCCACATCCTTCCTATAATGCGGCGACCAGAACTGTACGCAATACTCCAAGTGTGGCCGCACCAGAGTTTAGTACAGCTGCAACATGACCTCATGTCTCCGAAACTCAATCCCTCTACCTATAAAACCTAACACACCGTACACCTTCTTAACAACCCTATCAACCTGGGTGGCAACTTTCATTGATCTTCTTTACTTATTATGAAGATTTTCTGCAATTCTCTTGAAGCTGTAAGATGAATTATTTGGAATGCAGCTCCAAAGCAAGGAATTCGAAAATCAAGTGTGGAGACCAGTGTATCCAATGTGTGACCTCATGTCCTGCATGTGTAGTAACTAAAATTAATGACAAAGATTTGGAGATGTCACAGATTGAGCACACCGATCTCTACAGCTGATCCTTCCATTAGCTGTGTTTACAGCATCACCAGTAGATCATACCATAGTGTGTTTATTGAAACATTAAACCAGTGGAAGTAACTGGACCATTAGGGTAACATCCTGTTGCAGTCAAATAAATGATATATGACCGTGTAGATTTCTGAAAAAGCTTCTGGTATGCTGTTTTATCACATTTAACATAACCATATGATTACATTTCAATGTGTACAGAATCTGTGTAGGAAATAATGTACATCTAAAAATGTAATCACTGGAAATGTCTGTTTATATCTGGCTTTATTTCGCTAAAATTGCAAGTACAGGGGTGACATTTTAATTCTCTCAAAACCGTTACATATGGTCAGTGAAAATCAGGCACAATATCACTTCATCTGTAGCAGGAGTGAAGTGCAGGCCTCTCTCATCGACTTTCGATAATACACTTTTAAAATCTTCTTTATTTAATACATGCATTGAAGGATCCAATTAACAAATAGCTTATGCTAATCTTAAGCCTGAGGTTTTTGAATTCAAAAATGGTTGCTATTGAGAGGGAAACAAACAGTGCTGTTTTAGAGAATAAATCCACATTGAAAGAAATATTCACTGTAATAATCTGTTCCAGCATGCAAGATTCTATCCTTAGCTCTTTACCTGAATTTTCCAGTTTTGACTCTATCTAATGGGTATATAACTGAGCATTATCCAGCAAATATTTTTCTGATTTTTTTTCTTTCTGTATGCAACTGTTAAATATGATTACAACTGAATAAATATTTTCTTTTACCAATTCGTAATTGTTTAAAGTGATAAGAGTTGCAGAGGAGCAGTTTTCCTTTAACTATTTAATCTGACCGTATGCATATTTGTGTGGGAGGGGGGTGGAAAGAGAGCGCTGTTTCAAGAGTTTTCCTCTTAAAACATTTCTTTCTGTTCCCTCTGTCCAGAGTGCTGCTGCAATCTCTGCTACAGTTAGTGATGACAACAAAATCATCGTGTCACTCCAGCCATCTGATGTGACGAATGGATCTTCTCTGTACTATGTGAAGATAACACAGTCTGTTAACCTGACTAATTATAAACTGCAGTTCAAAGACTTCAACAGTACGCTCCCTCCTCCTGTGGTCTTCAATGCTTCTTACCATGGGATCTACTACTTAGTGACCCTACTGACTGGCAACTCAAAATCAACCGTTAAGCCAGTACATTTAGTTGCTGTACTAACAAGTAAGCAACTTTTGTTTGTTTATTATGTTCATCAGTAAGTCAATTATAATTTAATGGATGCTGAGCAACGTGTCATGCCTTTGGAAGGTCAGTTATCTAGAGCAGAAGAGAGAAACCTGGTTTCTCAGCATCTCCTACAGCCTCTGGATGTCGTTTACTTCATGTGATGTCTTTGGAACATGGAGTTCCACATATAGCACTTAGTAACTGCTCAGGTTTATAGAATATTCCTAATGTTTTGCATCAGCCTTGATTAATCTCCAAAGATAATTTTCTGTTTGACATTCAGAATCATTGATATTAAATTACATGAAAATCCTGCATATTAATATATGGAAGGAAAGTGTCAACCTGTAATTACTTAATCGCATTTGGCTTAATTTTACGAAATATTGCTTAGATTACCTATTTCCTCTCAGTTATATATAAGGTGTTACAGAAACTTCAGTATCTGCTTGGTGAAATTGACAGCAATGAATGCATTTACTGTTGCAAGTTTAACGCTTGAATGATGTAAGTCACTAGATCAGTGTAGAAAAGTTTAATCAGTATTTAGCTAAGGTTGCACTTGACTCCCCTAAGCGTATCCATTACCTATAAGGCACAAGTCAGGAGTGTGATGGAATTTTCCCCACTTGCTTGATGAGTGCAGCTCCAACAACACTCAAGCTTGACACCATCAAGGACAAAACAGCCTACGTTATTAGCATCACATCGACAAGAATTCACTCACTCCACCACTGATTTTTAGCAACAGTGTGCATTACCTTCAAATTAGACTGCAAAAATTCACAAAGGCTCCCTTTACTACACCTTCCAAACTCTCAACCTCTTCCATCTGAAAGGACCAGGGCAGCAGATAAGAAAAGTTCCCATCTAAGCCACGCACAACGTGACTTGGAAATCTAATGCCATTCCTTCATTGTGTCTTGGTAAAAATCCTGGAACTTTCTCTCTAACAGCACTGTGGGTGTACGAGGCTGCGGAATTTCAGGAAGGCAGTTCAGCACCACCTTCTCATGGGCAACCAGCAGGAAACGGTGGACTATCTGAATGAGTTCTTTTTAAATCCTAAGATAGGTTGTGTTTGTTAATAGGTGACTTTCCAATTCCTAATTCACAATGGGGAAGCCACACTCAAAAATAGATATACAGCATTATGACCCGATTAAAGTATTTTTGACAATGTAGTCAACTTATAAACAACAAACTTATATTTGTTTCTATTCCAATTTCATTAATAGAAAAATTGGAGCATCATGTGGAACAAGTTTCAATTGCAGTAATGAACATTGATCTTCATAAACTTTTTACATTATTGCATTACAGTTATTAATCTCAGTTAAAATAAAGTTGATACCTGTGTCACAAAGGCCAATTTATTTGCCATATAAGTACACCAACTGCTTTATATTAATATTGTACCAAATAATCTCTTATCTGAAGAGATTACCTGGATCTATTGAGTAAGTAATAAATCGATTTCCATTAAATACAATGACAACATCTCAGTCAAGCAAAGTGCCTTGATGGATAAAATAGAGCAGTAGCCAGATTTGATAAATTACTTACTTTACTTATCCTATCCCTAACTGTTAATTTCTTACAAAAAAAACTGGCTGTAATGCAGGTGTCAATATTTTTACTCTAAGCCGCCTCTTGAGATATTTTTTAAGTGGGCTAATTATTAATCGATGAAGACTCCTGTTTGCTTTCCAGGATTGTTTTTCATTCTCATTTGCCTTCATTGGGTGATGCACCACATAGTAATAGTATTTTCTGTGCTTGTGTTGAAATTTGGGGGATTTAGAGTCACACAGGAGCAGAATTAGAAGAAATCACCATTTTTTGTCAATAATCATCACTGCTCCATTGAAGTTAAGCCTATAACACAAGAGGAAAGCATTAATTTCCTGGATACCACAGTATTTAAATTGACACATGGTAACAGGAATAAGTTAGCAATCGATCTTTTTAAAAAAAAAACATACACTTCCTGTGCATAAAATGCCAACACCCTAAATATGCTTTCTGTGAACTGATGAGGTCACACCTAAGCAGCTGCATGTTTGTTTCCAACATACTGTGCCTCTAGTAATTAACGGTATGAGTTATGGGTTTGAAATGTGATAATACATAAATGTAACTTTTAGTATGTGAAACTGTTGAATTCTTAAATATCCAATTGAATACAATATTCATTACAGTAGCCTTCACTACATTTCCCATTTACCCCCAGAGTAGCTTCTGAACACCTGTAGACATTAGTGAGAAACTCAACATTTCAGTAGCCAGGAATTCATTACTTTAATTTTCACGGCTTCCATGCACCCGAATGTCCCTTTGTTGATTGATTTGTAACCTGCCTCTCTCCCCTATCCAGCTCCTACTTCCTCTCCTGCTCATCCTAACCAACTAGTTTCACTCTCAGATGTCTGTTCCCGTTTGTTCACGGCATTACTCACCACCTCGGTGCAACTACAATCACAATTCGCTTCTCTCCAAAATTTTCATTTGATAGGTGCACTATGTATGTACTGTGCAGGGGGAGAACTTTTCTCCAGTTGTTTTCTCTTGCGATTGAATTTGGCTGGGCACTTTGGAGGTTTCAGAATGGAAATTGCCCACTATCCCATGTATTTTGAGCCTTGCTGTAGTGCGTTGATCCATTCCCTGTTTGTATCAGGCACAGATATCGCGTGAACAAGGACTCCAGTGAGAGGCTGCAGAAAACAGGGAAGGTAATGATTGTTAAAATAAGAGATTGGTGGCTGTCAGTTTTACAAGTGACCTTAACCCATTTACTTTAAGCAGATTAACTCCTGCCCAGTGCATTTCCCACCAGAATGTAATAGCTTAAATATTATGTGCTTCTCTCGTATAAAATTTTTCTCGACCTTTTGCAGTGAACAAGTTAGTGTAATGTAGACTGGTGTCGGCACTCAAACAATATAATGCAATTATATGTGTCAAATCTTTACACTCATACATCCCTGTCAACAGACTATTTTGAGGTTCTAAAACTGTTCATGTTCACAATTTGTTCTCTCTTCTAACTTTTATAAATATATACACCTTCATAATAAACTCTAGGAATGGCAAACTCAACAACAAATTATCATTCAGAGATAGCAAGAACTGCAGATGCCAGAGTCAGAGATAACACAGTGTGGAGCTGGAGAACCAGCAGGCTAGACAGCATCAGAGGAGCAGGAAAGTTGACGTTTCGGGCCGGGACCCTTCAGAAATCTTCAGAAACAATTTATCATTGTTCTGTGCTATATTCTTTTTCCTCTTGGTCCTGCCCATACATCTTCACTAATCATGTACTTATCAGAAAGATTCATAGCAAACTTTACTGGAAGACAGCATAAAAGATGTCATCAGTGTGAGAGCCAATTTTCAACTTGTGTTCCTGAATCAATTTGAGTTTACATGTTGACCTGAAAATGAAGTCTATAGGCAGAGTTTAATGTTGGGAGGAAGAGGCACATAATACAGTGGGAATGTATGGGGAGGAGACCCCATCACCATCTCAATTTCTCCAGTTAATTCCAGGCAACGTTGACAATGTCCTTCCATCCAGATGCCAATTAAGCCTTTTAAATGGCACCTTGAATACTTCATCCTGCCACACTAGTGTTTAACCAGTGGAAGATGGGCACACACTTTTTAGGCAAACAATAGGTAAACCTTGGGCAGTATGTCTGTAGTGTGATGGCCTCTTGTCTGGAATCTTGTGTCCAATGGAGAGAGCTGCAGAGCTAAGGAGGCATCTGAGGGAAGCTCCCTCCTCCGTCCACTCCCACTCAGTCCTCAGCAGTTTACAAATACCTATCCCTCCCTGGCAGCACATGATGAGCCAGCTCCACTCATCTTTATCTCCAGTGACAATCTTCCCCTTTAGGCCTGTTGCAGAACTGGCGGTCACTCCCAGTACTGGGGAACTGCTGGTCTCCAATGTAGTCAGTAGCCCTTGGAGGCAGGTCATCCATGCAAACTGTCCCTTGTGGAGCCGGAAACACTGATAGCAGCGGTAGGATTCCCAATTGGTACCTAATCCCAACATGGCTCCTAGAAATTGCCATAGCAGGGCACCACCAGTTCTTAACTTAGTGGATAGGTTTGCAGGCCTGATCTTTAAATTCTGCCTTACGTTTGATTTTTCAACATAGACAGCATGACAATACATAATTGGACAAAGAGAAAACACAGCAGGGATAATTTCTAGTGCTCTGGAGCCTTGCTGCTGGGAGTTCTTAATGGAGACTCTAGTACACAAGATAAGCTAAAATTTTCAAACTGTGTAATTAAGGAACATAGCTTCTGGCTGAGTGTGTGAAATCAGAAGTTTGTGTGTGTTCGAGGAAAATACATATGATATAGATGCAATTTCAAACTTAAAAGTCTAGGGTTTTCTAATGAAGAATAGTGATGTTGATCATTGGAAAACAGCCTGTACATGCTACTTGAATGTAGTGCTGTTGCTGCTGCCCTTGCCAACTCCTAGATTTAATTTACTTGTTTGATCGAATAGTGACAGGTCAGGCCATTGCAGTGTCACATTTTGCTCACTTGGAAATGTAATTAAGGTTACATTTGAAAATCGGTGTCAACAAAAACTCTCTTAACACACTGCACCAAAAGCAAATTGGCCATCCAGACTAGTGCCTTTCCAATTTATATGCAGTTGTACAATCAACCTGAAAATAGTTGATCCTAATCGGTATTCAATGTCTTTCGACTGTTCCCTTCGGTCCTGTGCTTCGTTGTCCTTTATGTGATTGTTGAGATTTGTGCTGATTTCTGATAAAGAATTCAATATTGAGTCCTTCAGAAATTTCCATTTTGCGATATGAAAATGCTCTCAATAACTACAATGGATGATGTTATAACCCAATTCAACCACTTTTTAAAATCAGTAGTGCTAAATTTCTATCAGTAAGGCCAAATCATACTTGCTTTTGCATGTGCCATTGCTTTAGATTTCCCACTGGATATGGTTTCCTATTCCAGTCAGCCATCATTTAAGATCAACATCAACTTAGTCTACTTGATGCCAAGGCATGCATTGATGTCTTAATTGTTTTAAAATTTCCTGTACAGAAATGGGAATTAAGATGTTTATTATTATCTGGCATGGAAAATACATCAAATTTCAAGATTTTTTTAAAAAACACTTCTTTTGTTGCAAAGAAGACTTCAATGGCACATTAGCCATACAAGGCTGCAATATGTTATCTTAGATTGTGAAGTCACTGTTTTGTGTCCTCAGTTTTCAATTAAACAGGCTCCAAATCTCAGGCACGCCATCAGTCAACATACAGAGAATTCTCTTCAAACAGCCGTCGCAAATCAGTACATTCAATTACTTTTGAAGACTGACTCTTTCTCGAGATCAGAAAATAAATTTCTCGCCACAGAAGAGGATGGAATTTATTGACTGTAAAATTCATCCATGTCTCAGATGCTCATGGGTTCAATCTCCCCTCCAGGATTTGAGCATGAAATCTAATCTGACACTCTGGTGCAAGAATGAGGAAGTGCTAGATTGGCATTGCCTTTCGTGTGAGTCATTAAACTAAGATCCTGGTCACCTCCTTAAATGGATATGATGAGTTACTCAGCCCTATTTGCAGAATAGCACAGGAATTCTCCATTGTCCTGAAAAAACATTGATCCTTCAACCAACGAAAAGGAGCCAGTTTAACTGCCCCCAATCTTACCACTGTTTGAGGAGCTTGCTGTATGATAGTTTGCCTCCAGAACAAGAAGGAAAACACTTCAAATGTAAATAATCTACTTTGAAACATTTTGGGACATCCAAAGCAAACGAAAGGTCTCATTGAGATGCAAATTCAATTATTTACTCTTTGTGAAGGTGAGGAAAGAGGTGTACTTTAGAAATTGCAGATAAAACACAGCCCTTTAGTCTGGTGATTTTTTTTCATTCAAGAGGTGTGAATGTCAATGGCAAGGCCAGTATTTATCCCAATTCCAACGCATTATACAAGAGAAAGTCACCACCTTGAACTGATGCTGTTCATGTAGGTTAGATATATCAATAGTGCTGTAAGGGAGGGATTCCAAATTTTTCAAAATTCCAAAATGTTGATCCATTGACAGTGAAGGAATGGCGATATCTTTACAAATGTGGCATGGAGAGGAACAGAGGTAGTAGTCTAGCTGGAGCAACACAGCAGGCCAGGCAGCATCAGAAGAGCAGGAAAGCTGACGTTTCGGGTCGGGACCCTTCTTCAGAAAATATTCTTTTTCAGAAATTTTCTGAAGAAGGGTCCTGACACAAAATGTCAGCTTTATTGCTCCCCTGATGCTGTCTGGCCTGCTGTGTTCCTCCATCTCTCCACTGTGTTATCTCTGACTCCAGCATCAGCAGTTCTTGCTATCTCCCAGGTAGTAGTTTCATGTGCCTGCAGATCTGATTAATTTCAGGTGGTAGAGGCTTGGACGTTGGCATATGTCTGCAAAGTGAGTTCGTTATGAGTTGTTTTACAGGCTGCTTTGTTTCTTAGTATAAACCTATCTCTTTAGGGGTCAGTTTTACAAAAACAAAATTTTTTTTAGATTCCAATGGCAGCTACATGAAACAGCTCCTTCCTTTACATAATTAATCTCCATGGGAGCTACGTTGTTACTCATCCACTCATGTTAAAATGGTTTAACTATGACTAACACTTTCTCCATCTTTGCTAGAACCACTCCCAGTCAACAGTGTGGCTGTATACGACTACAAACAATCCCCACAAACTGGAGTTCTGTTTGACATTCAATACCCAAAGCAGACCACTAACTTTTTCTCAAGATTAAAATTAAGTTACTTGGAAGGCAGTTATTATCGAACATCACTCCACAAAGGTAAGAAAACATTTCTGACTTCCAGCGATTTGTTAGAACATCAGAATAAAAGAAATAGGAGCAGGAGTAGGCCATCTGGCCCCTCGAGCCTGCTCTGCCATTCAATAAGATCATGGCTGATCTTTTTGTGGACTCGGCTCCACCTACCTGCCCGTTCACCATAACCCTTAATTCCTTTATTGTTCAAAAATCTATCTGTCTTTAAATAATTTTCATGTTAATTGCAGATTTTGGTACAAAAGTATATTGTTGCAGATTGTACTTGAATGTCTAATTGTTGTTGGGCCAATTCTATCCGATGTACTTTGTGATGTGGTAAAGTTGGTCGAGGTAGGTGAGTTAGTCAAAAAAAAAATCAGTTGGAAAAGGATTACTTTGCAGAGATTGGGGAGAAAGCTGGTATGTCAGACCAACTGAGTGGCTCCTTCAAAGAACAAGTACAGGGTGATACAAACTCAATATAGAGCTGTAACATTTTAAAAAGACATTTGAATTCCAAGTTATTAACTGACAACATCATGCAATAACATTGCATGATTTAAAACAGAAAATATCTCCTGACAAAAGAATACATGATAACACTGCATTTCTTAAGAAGTTCCCATGCCATCCCAGCACCGCACCATTAGGTTTCTAATTTTATGTGAAAAGTTCATCTCGCATTGCAGTTTCTTGAGTATTCACTCAATTCTGTTGGAACCAAACCAATAGCTGTCTCAGGTCCCATACATACACTGCATTTCTTGTCCTATCCCAGACTGCCATTTTAAACTCCCAGATCTCTCTGCAATGATTCCAGTGTTGATATTTTCCACTTGTTTTATAAGACAGATCTTTAATTTTTCATAAACTTGGGTTTTCCATTCAAAGTAAGGTTTCCATTTGCATCTTTGTACATTGCCGCACAAAAGCTAGTTTCTTCTAGTTTCTGCTGCTCCTGTCTGTCATTCTGGCAGATGGTTCCCAGACTGACTACCCTCACAGATTGGGGAAAACAGCAAAGATATATTAAAACCAAGGAACCTTCTTTTCTCAACCCATCTCCATGGCAATGTGACACATGGTGTTTAGTTTCAGATAGAAATGCAAATCAACTATGTTTGATATTATACTTTTCCCTTGATCTGAACAGTATGTAGATAGTTCAAAATATTGTTTTGTTTAGTGGTTGCGTTCAAAATCTTCTCTGATCTGAGGGAATGAATAGGTTACCGTGGGGGGAGAGGAGGGAGATTTACACCCGTACTTCAAAGCTTCTCTTGGGTTATCCCAAACACAGACTATCTCCTAAAAAGACATTCAGAGAGGCTATTATAACCCCAGGTGTGAATATTTCTAACCACCATCCCAGCAACAAATTAGAATTTCCCTTTTGATGTGCAGCTCTGGACCTAATTATAAATACTTTAGACCTCCATAACATATCAATCGAAAGATATATTCCTAAAATACAATCCTATGACATTACACTTTCAGGAAGGGCCAATGATCTCCTTCTGTACTATATAATTGTATGAAATTTGGATTTGTTCACTGTTCTTAAGATATCCACTCTCTTTAGGCACTGCAACACTTTCATTAAATGAACTGATCAACTTCATTTAGCTGCTTCTCAAATTTGACTGAGCAATTTGTTGCATTTTGAATCAAAGAATGTCTCCTATTTCTAATATAAGGAAATGATTACAGGTGCTTTAGAAAATTATCACATTTCCTCGTTGGAAGCATTTACTGTTCTAACTTCCTTGCACACAGCCTCACTGTCTGTTGCCTTGTCTGTTTCTTCAACCTCTGTGTTCACTTGGTGTCCTTCCCCTTTCCCTCCCACCAAAATGCTGTTGAGTCTAGCTAAATTGAAAATTTGGATGTTTGTTACAAAAAGATACAGTGGGTTAATGAACCAAGGTGGGTAGATAGAATACAGGTCAACCATAATCTCATTGAATGGGGGGCAGATTTTAGGGGCTGAATGCCCTACAGCTTTTCCTATATTCCTCTCCCCTGGTTTCTGTTTACACTGTCTCCCTTTGTCATTCCTCTCCATTCACCACCCCATCTTCCTTATCAATTTACAGTGCTCTCTGGGACAGATACACTTAAACATTTTCCTAAGAGATTTTCAAACAAGTCTCAATCATCCTTCCTCATCAAAGAAGGAACTCGTGGCTGTGACTAACTTCTTTGTTACTTTTTTTGATGTGCAGCTTTTTTTTTAAGAAAACTGTCAGCTGCTTTTTAAACTTGGAACTTCATGGAAGACTGTGAAATCTCACTCTCTGTAGCAAGTTACATTTATATTGTACCATACCTTACTGTGGGAAAATTGGGCTCTGTCTACTGTGATCCTGCTTGATTTGCATCCCTAAGAAGCACTGTGCTTCCCTTTACAGTGCCTTTCTGGGACTCCAGAGTCAGAAACAAAACCCTTCTGAGGAAACATCACTGGACCCGAAAATGTTAACTTTACCTTCTCTCCACGGAAGATGCCAGACCTGCTGAGATTTCCCAGCAATTTCAATTTTTGTTTCTGATTTCCTGCATGCAGTTCTGTGTGTGTGTTTTTTAAACTTCAGATTCAGGTTTTTCCCTGATATTGACTATTGCTGCACATTGGTGAACGTTTTCAACTCAAAGTTCCCAGAAGGAACCTTTTGTGAAGGGCAGTTTCAGACTACTATCTCAATGTTAGCTCTATTGCTGAACCTTTTTTGCCTTGAATTTACAACATAACTCCAATTGTCTCCAAGAGATTAAACTGGACAGGCTGCGAGTATATTTCAAGCACACAACCCTGTGGGTCTAATACTTTATAAAAGACATAGACTCCAGAATGAATTACAGTATTATGTGATTGCATTGTATAAAAGGTAAATTATTTAACAGTTAACATATGTACAGCTAATGTAAACAGTTAATGCATGAATGTTTAATGTAATCTATTGGATTCGTTTCTTCATCTTAGGCCTTTGAAATGAAATTTTCCAGGTCATTTACCACTTTTTGACCCCATGTTGTTCTGTGATTTTGTTTGACTCTCCCAGATGATTATAGAGTTGTTGGGTGGTGGGGGTAGAAAGCATCCACTTATGAGGCTTCCAGCATCAAGTGTGTGGGTCAGGTTTGAAAGTCCAGCTTCTGTTTCCTCACACATCCTCTCGAATGTGACTTTTGACACAATCGAAAATTATTTATTCTATAAATGATTCAGGATCCATTTCGACGGATTGGGTGAGATTTGAACTCATCCATGAGGTACCCTTTTGCAGATAGATGAAAGTGGGCCCCATGCGGTCTAATGTGGTTTAGTTTGATACTAATCGTGCAATTTATAGTGTAAATGCAGCGTTTATACAGAGTTTGGTCTGACAGCGGAATGGAGAGAGATTTACAGGAGCAATTGTTTGTTTCCCAATTAGTTTGGGACTCCCCACACAATTTACACAGCACAAGTTTAGTTTTGGTGTGAGATCTCATTGGGCAATTTCTAAACCTGCGCCACAAATGAGATTAATGCAGAATATGCATATGAAGCATAATAAAAGAAAAGTGCTGCAAATGTGAAGATTCCTGAACAAGTATGAAGCATTTCATACAAATGTTAACTTTCTGTTCTTGAGAAAATGGACTGCAAACAGTTGGTCAGCAACAAAATATCTTTTCTTTTCATGCACTGGCAAGAGTTTGGTGGTATTTTGGGAATGGTCTATCCTTCTAGCTTATTCCAAAATAACATGTTGATGCGTAATGGCAATCCTATAGTGCAATATTCGGTACAGTTTCCAAATGAACATCGCTCAATCACCATTTATGAGAAAATGATGAAGACGGGAGCCTTAGAAAATTGGTTCCTTTTTTAAATTACCCTTTTTTCTAATTTAAAGGCTTCTAAAATAAATTTGCAGTGCTTAATCTGTGATGTAACTGTGTTGTGTTGTTTACTGTCGATAATTTTTAAAAACAGATTTTCTGAAGGGCAAGTTAATTTTCAACACTTGGCTACCTGGAACATGCTACAGTAACATTACATTCCAACTGGTGGCAGAGGCAAATGTCAATCAAGTTCCATTAATGGAGTACAGTGCCATTAGCCATGAGCCAAAACATCATCGAACAGGTAAAACTGCCTTTACAAACGGTAACATTGAAGCTCAGTGGTAGCAATAGGAATACATAATCTCTAGGCAGATAGAGAGAACTGACATTTGGGGCAGCATGGTGACTCAGTGGTTAGCACCTGCTACCTCTCAGCCCCGTGGACCTGGGTTCAACTCCAGCCTTGGATGTTCTTGGGAGGGTCAGTGTGGATTAAATGATGTTTCCACATTGTGGGGATTCTATGATTCTATGAACTTTGTAAGTTAGAACTTTGTAATAGCCAAAACACATACAGGATACATTCATGATATCACTTCCCTCCTAACACGTCCAGCCAACTACCACGTGGTTAGCTCATGCTAGAAGTTGAAGTCACAGAAAACAACCAGGCAGCTTGAAACACTGCCTGCATTACACTCAATGGTCTCCCATTAAACACGCAGTATGATCTCCTCACACGTTTCCAGGGTTTCAAATTTAGTCCATCTGTATCTCGCTTACAAAATAGTGGAAGATCACATCACTAGTTGCTGTTTGAATAGTATTTTATTTCCCTGATTCCCTGAGAGGAGACTGACAGGAGGGAAATAAACCAGTAGTGCTGGAATTAGTGTCAATACAGCGAGGTTCTGGAGGAACACAGCAGGTCAGGCAGCATCAGAGGAATAGGAGAGTCAATATTTCAGGCCTAGACCCTTCATCAGGACTGCTCCTGCTCCTCTGATGCTGCCTGACCTGCTATGTTCCTCCAGCTCCACACTGTATCAACTCTGACTCCAGCATCTGCAGTCCTTGCTATCTCTGGGTATTGGAATTATTCTTTATAAAAACATTTTTTTTTTCAGAAGATTCCTGTTGATTTAGCTCAATGATCTTCTCTTGGAATTTGAGCCAGATGCTTACAATTGCATTAGAACTTTCCTCCACATTTATTGCATTCTAGGCTTTTGAAATTTGGATTTGTGACATTAATGTCCATTGGTTGTTTTTGTCTTCCTACTAGAGTCGTTAGTTGGAGGATTTTCATATCGAACAAAGATGCATTTAGTTGCCTGACCCTTTCTGCATCCCAAAGGCCCGGAATTATGCTTTACACCCTTCATGATTCTTCTGTAATGTGGCTGTATGTTTTCTGAGGTAGAATGAATGAACCTGTATATCTTGCTTCAGAATAGAACTGCCCAGTGATCAGTAAAATGCAAGTGAAACTTGCTACTTATTGTTTAATGTCCTCTTAAGTGCCTAGTATCTAATTTATCTTAGTAATTATCTCAATATGATCAATAGATGCTTTTATACTTGTTTTAGCTTCTGTCAATGAAGAAATTCTAGCTGTTCTCTTGTTCAGTTGTGGATCCTGGTAAGAATAACCTTGTCTAATCCCACAGTAGGATCTTTTCTGAATCAGTATGAACTGTTTCAATATCCATTACCAGCATCATTTTTATTTGATTGCAGGCATCGCTGGCTGGGCCAGCATTTATAGACCAACCCCAACTGCCCTTGAGAAGGTGAACAGTTTTCTTGAACTGCTGCAGGCTTTGTGGTGTGGCTACATCTACAGTGTTATTGGGGAGGAAGTTCCAGGAGTGTAAACCAGCAACGTTGAAGAAATGGTATTGTAGTTCCAAATCAGGATAGTGTGCGGATTGGAGGGGAGCTCCCAGGTAGTGGTGGTGGTGTTCCTTTGTGCCTGCTGCCCTAGTCATTTGCAGGATTGGAAGATGCTGTCAAAGGAGGCATGGTGTGCTGCTGCAGTGCATCTTGTACATGGTACACACTGTATGTTGATGGCAGAGGGAGTGGATGTTGGCACATAGGGTACCAAGGATGTGGCTGCTTCGTCCTAGATGGTATCAAAATTGAGTGTCGTTGGAACTGCTCTAATGTAGGCAAGTGATGAATACTCCATCACACTCCTGAATTGTCCCTGAAGGACTGTGGATATATGTTAGGGGAGTTACTCACCACAGAATTTCCAAACTCTGACCTGCTACTGAAAAAACATCACTATTTACGTGGTATGTCCTTTTCTGGTTCTGGTTGATGGTAATTCTTAGAACATTGATGGCAGAGGATCCAGTGGTGGTAATTTGTTCCCATCTGAATCCATGCGCCATCTCACTTCATTTTTTTTTTAAAGTCTTATCAAACATGAAAAATTTATTTTTTTATTGCTTGCCCCTTTCAGGGCTATCATTATATCTGTTACCTGCTACTACTGAAGCTCCTGTTTCATTTTACATTCAAATATTCTAAACAGCAGTAGTCCTAAAGCTGTTCAACATGGGACTCCACTTATTTCTAATAACAGTTGTAAAAACATCACATTTTGTATTTAGAAAAAAAAAATGTTTTTGTCAGCAAGCTATCAGCATACTTAACTCTGCACAAAATTTACTACACACATTTTCAGCACGGAGTAGATGTATTGAGAGCTCAGGTACAGATTTAGGGTTAGAAAGATTAATTTACCACTGGAATAGATGTTGAGCTGGCTACAAATCAGGTGCACTGATCTCTCAATTTAAATTTTCAGCATGAGCTCCTGTCATGTGAAAGTCTAATCAAGGAGCAGTTAAATTCTGAAAATAGTGCAGATTGTCATCATTGAGAAAACAATGTGCATTATGCATGCATTACAAGTACATATCCTTTTTAGCTGATTATAGTTTGTTTTGATACTGGAGACCTAATTCAATATCTTAGTATCGTGTACAAAGCTCTTTTAAAATCTTAGAATAAAAATACAGTAATTCTAACTTGACTTAATATCTCATCAATAAGCAAATCTCTCTTTTGTCCTTGACAGTACCCTACCCCCCCAGTAATGTGTCAATGAAGATTGTGTACAAGAGACATCAGTCTGTCAGTGAAATTCATGCTGGTCATGAACGTTATTCTCTCAACGCGACTAAAACTGCCGATGAGCGAAGCAATGCAATTGATACCGAGATCAGTGACCCTACAGCAAACCAGTCAGCCGGACAGGGAGATAATAAATTTATCAATGACGTTGAAAAGAAAATGAAAGCTAACTGGGCGCTGGAGTTCCATGCAGACAGTAAAGAGATTTCAGCGAGTGGAAGCGATTATTTAGATGTAATGAATGCTACTGAAGGCGATTCTCCAAATATTAATTACACGACCACAGAGTCTGTGCACTCTGTGACCAGTCCAAAAACTGTGTGGCTTGTGCTCCAGTGGTTCCCACCAAAATCATACACAACTTATGATGGCTTCAACATTTACATCCAAAGGGAAGGTAGGCTAAGCTATCAACGCCACTGCATTAAAAAAAACACATATTTCAAGTTATCTTATTCATCATTATGTCTCTCTGTGGCTCACTGGGTAACATATTTTTCTGTAGAACGTTATGGGTTCAGACCCCACTCCAGAGAGTTGAGCATGCTATCCACTTTTGCGCAGTGAGTGCTGCACTGTTGGAGGTGCCACATTTTGGATAAGGCATTTAACCTGCCTTTGTCTTCCCTCGTCAAGTGGACATTAAAAAGTCCCGTGGCAGTATTTCAAAGCCCCTAAGGCTTTGACAAATTGTATTGGGCTGGAATCAGAACTGTTACTTTTTTCTCAAGGTTAATGCAAATGATAAAAAGCAATTTTTGAAACACAAATTGGCCACTGTCTAGCAGTGTGTGTTTCTTCCTCCAAAATTCTTGAAAATATAGAAGCTATTTTCCAGGATACTGTAATAAAAACAAAGTAATGCGAATACTGGAAATATGAAATAATAGCAGAGAATGCCGAAGAAACTCCACAGGCCTGGCAACATTGTGGAGAAGGAAATGGAGTTAAATTATTTGGATCTAATATGATCCTTTTCTGTAATTTTGTATACTGTATACTTATAACAGGTACATACAATTGGAACTAAAATGAGCACATCCTGGACATTTACTCCCTGCAAAAACATGCTGAAAATAGTTTCAGTACTTTGCACGTATATGCACATTTTATTGTTATTGTTATTGTTATTGTTATTGTTATTGTTATTATTATTAAATATTAATATTTAATATTATTCTCCTGCAGAGAACCCTGCTGAAGTTTTCACAGTAGAAAATGACAGTTATGTTTTCGAGCTGGAACTCCAAGAGGCGGGAAAGTACAACGTCAGTGTAACAACTGTCAGCTCCTTTGGGATCTGTCCGACTAGAGAGAGCTCATCCAAGAAAGCCTTGACTTTTTACCTAAGTGAGTACATTGTTGCATGGGATGAATGAGGTAGCTTCTGCAGACAAATTCAATTTCAGGGCCGCTTTTCGGGAATTGAATTCACAATTATCCCAGGGCAGCAGCAAAGATACTGTGCGGAACAGCTCCAAGCATTGAAACCACAAATAGGTCACTCTGCCTTCATGTCCAAACAGTGTGTCAGAAATAAGCATGCGTATTGCATGTTGAGCAACTGCTTTAAAACTGCTTATGTACTCAGCTGTCCCTCAGGTCATGAGACAACATGGATACCCCTTTATACCACTGTCAAAGCATGAGTGCCAAGGGCCAAGCATAATACTTTAACTGTTGCATGATCTTTAATTGACCGAGCCTGTTTACAATCAACCAGATATGAAGAATATGAGAAGTAGCAGCAAGATGGCACAGTATACTACTTATATATACCTACTTACCTTCAGAAAATCATGAATCTCTGTAAAATATACCCATGAATTTTGTAATGGAGAAAGCATTGAGTCATTTCATTTTTTTTTGATATTCATGGAAAGAATGTTGCCTAAAGCTTTTCATCTTGCACTCATCGATCCTAACGTAAGATTGCCAAATTTCAAACAGTCACAATAATTTATGTTGCCTTTTCACCTGCAATATAAATTGCTCTCATCATTAGAGATTTGACATTTTTGTGTCATGTTCCAGTATAGTCAGAACTTTTAGTCAAATTTTTTAAAAAACTGAAGAAAAGGCTGCAAAGGTTGTCCACCTATGAGTCACCTGACTTCTTTTGTGGATTGAAACTGCTCCACAGTTTAAGTGGGAATGAAAGGAACACTCCACACTGATGTATCAGTGCTTTCTTGAAACTAGTTCAGAAAAGTAATAATTGAAACACAGACACTAGATGACTCTCAAGGTGTCAAGTAACAATATAGAATGATTGGAATCGACAGACACATCGCTCTTCGTTTAGAAACAGGACTTTGAACTTGCGGAAGTTGTGTGATGAGGCAGCCATGTTTGTTCTCTGCTTTTTTAAATTTCTTGCAATAGGAATTTCCAGCTTGCAGGCAGAGAAATTTTATTTAAAAAGTCATCCCATCATTCAAAGTCTACTGGTCTGCCATGAAAATGACTGTGATAATTGTTTTACCATCACCTGTGTGTGTGTGTGTGTATGTACATGTACGTGACAGAGTGAAATGTTTTTTTAAAAATCCAGAGCATGTGTGATAATATATAACCTTCTTGATTTTACCCTGTACATACTCCACATAGAGTCATATAGTCGTACAGTATGGAAACAGACCCTTCGGTCCAACCCGTCCATGCCGAACATAATCCCAAACTAAATTAGCCCCACCTGTCTGCTCCTGGCCCATATCCCTCCAAACCTTTCCTATTCTTCTTCTTACCTAAATGCCTTTTAAACGTTGTAATAGTACCCACATCCACCACTTCCTCAGGAAGTTCATTCCACATGCGAACCAACATCTGTGTAAAAAAAAATTTGCACCCTTGGCTTTTTTTTAAATTTCTCTCTTCTCACTTTAAAAATGTGCCCTCAAGTCTTGAGATTCCCCCATCCTTGGGAAAAGACAGCAAAAGCCCAGCCAGCAAAAGCCACATCCCGTGAAGGAACAGGAAAAATATTTTAACCTCGAAAAATGTGGTGCGGGAATTGCTTATTGGGACCCTTACTCTGGGGCTGTGAAAGCACAGATCCTTTATATCCCAAACTCTGATCATTAGCGGTAAAAAGGAACACGCAAATTCTCTTTGTGACACTTGCATTTACCCTGATGAGTGCAAGAGAAAAAGCTGTGGCAAAATGGTTCTCTTTACAGCAACATTCAAGTTCCATACTATCAAGCGAGCATGTCTTTTTTTTTGGTTTAGAAAGGCTTATATCTTGTTTCTGCTAGAATCAATTTTTCATTAATTTTGCTAAGAAAGGAATAGGTTTGAAGATTAAAAATATTTACCTAAAGAAGCACTGATAGTGGTTGGAAACTTGTCCTTGGGCACAATTACTGGAATTTTGCTGAGGTTCATAGATGATTCATACAGAAAATTAGGAGTTCCTACAACACACATGGTGGGAAGTCAAAAGTTTGACCTTTCTAGCCCACATGCAACATTCTCAATGTTATATGTTGCAATTTTTACACACAGCTCAAGTGAACAGGTGCTCACTTGAATGTAAATATCAGTCCTTGGTGTGACACCCTATAGAATTTCACGTTTTCTTCTCAAGCTCTATCCCATAGAAAATGGGCAGATTGCTGTTGATTAATGAAGTTGGCTTTGGAATATTTGTTAAAGGAATGTAGTGGTCTTTTAGTTGAAGTCATTTTTTTGAGCATTGAGGCAGTGACGTTTATTTGTGTTATTGAGTTCCTTTAGTTCAGTTTCATTTTTGCTCCTTTTTTCTGCCATTTACTGAAGCCTTCAATTTGCTGCATTCCTGACACGGCAGCCATCAATAGATGTTGCAGACCAGACAACTAGATAGATAGCAATTCATTTTCACATTCCGACTGTGCCACATGAATCGGTTGAACTGCAGCAGTTCATGTGAGAGGATAATCTGTTTCAGGTTTTGCGATGCCTCAAATAGTTTGTGTTTCTCAATTACACGGGATCCGTTCCCAGGTGGGCATGTCAAAATAACTTGTCCTCACCACCTTCACTGCAGATACAGTAGGGTGACCAGTAGTGACAACCACTGCAGGATGGCTCACAGTAAACCTCCAGACTGGGATGGTTATTTCTTTTGGAACAAAGGATAACATGATTAAGCTTCATTGTAACTAGATCCTCCCAGATTATTGCAGGACACATTTGCCAGTAAACCAGACTGCCTTTCATACTACCTTTACCTTTTATATGGCACTATTTGTATAAATATGCTGTGAACACAGATTATTGTTTCACCCCTTATGTTCTTCTCTTGCTCTGTGATCTAAGGCCATGGCTATTGTTATCATTGTAATAAATATGGGTGATTGAATTTTAACTTCCATCATTTTATGATTATAATTGAGAACTTCATGCGTTAAATAATTTTTTAAAGAAGACACAAACAATGATTTAAAATGGCCGCACGTTCACCTGACAATGGATTGAGGCAAGCTTCATGTGACCATGAGAGATAGTAGGAACTGCAGATGCTGGAGAATCCGAGACAACAAGGT